GAGCGCGGTCGAGCGTGGCCCGTCTGCGGAACCGAAGAGAGAAGCCGCGAGAAGGTCCTCTGTCGTCCGACCGCAACGGCAGGGTTCCCCATCTTCTCACATACATCTCCGACCGCCCTTCGCCCTTCGCCCTTCGCCATCCGTGCGCCGTCCGCGACATCCGTGACGTTGTCCGCGAATGCCCCCGTCGAACGCGCTGAACACCGCCGCTTATCGTCGAGTCATCGATACTAACGCGACGACGACCACGATCCCCGGGGTTAGTGCCGCCTCGCTGCGCTGGCTGGGTCTGTTTCTCCTGTGATCGCGCTTTTTTATCTTTCGCTTTTTTACCTTTCCCTAGAACGATTTGAAAAAGTGCATAAAAGCTGAGAGGTTGAAAGTTGAACACGGTGGAACACTAGCGCGCGTTTATCGCGAGTACATACACGAGAAGAACGATATTCGCTCAAGTATAAAATTTGTTAATTAGCTAAATAGATACAGATTGAAAAAAAAATTTTATTCGACCATCAAAATAATTATGTAGGATGTAATTATTTTCGTAATCTATATTAAAATTATTTCCAGATCTGTATCTCTTGTATAGATAAATTTAGATACTTGAATCATTTTTTCCTTGTACTTAGAAAATATCAAGCTGACATTATTTGAGAAAATTGACATCATTCTGATGTCAAAATGACAATAAATGATGTCACAAATTGCTACCTGGGATATTATTGTTCTCCGCGTACTGTTCTCACCGCGAGTTCTCTAATTTTCGGAGCTCTGAAAATCGTGGGGAGGATGAATCTCGACACGTCGCAAAATGTCGCGCGCTCCAGTCGACGCGGCCGTCGATCAGGATTCAGAGCAACGGTCCGCGTGCAGATTCGACAATCGACAATCGTTGTATAATGAGAGAAATGGCCCGCCCGGCGAGAGTGTGCGGTGAATGGCGGGTCAAAATATCCGATCGGCGAAACGCGATATCGTGTATTATTACGTATAAACGATCGACGATGTCGCGGACTTGCGTGACTCGAACGATGACGAAAACTCCGTAGATGTGTCGAAACTGTGGAATTCGGCCGATCAGGATAACTGTGATATGCGTTTGGGGAAGGGGGAGGGAATAGAACGGCTATCACATAATTTCTCTTGAATGGCCAGAGATACTCTTTTCCATTTCCATAATTCACGGTATTCCATCAGAAACGAGTGATTTGAGAAATATAACGTCACGCCGCGCCGCGCCGTGACGATCGCAAATTGCATCAGTTATACTCGTATATTTTTATACGGCGGCTTGATTGTCCTGTAATTTCGGTGAATTCGTGTTCTAAATATTCCAATGTCGCACGAGAGCCATCCTTTTAATTTCCACCGATGCAAATATGACAATTTGCGAGTAAAGTGATATTAAATACAATACCCGAGCACCCAGCATCAAAATTGAAATTTGTCGAAATTGCGCAAAAAATCTGGAAAATTCTGGTTGTCCTATTCGCAAAATTGTTCTGATGTTGGAGAGAGCGCGACTTTTTTTTTATTTAAAATGATAAAATTTGAATTTTCTTTTATTAACGTGCGTTATAATTTCAGCTATATGCCAGTTTGTTTGTTTTTTTTTATTACTTTATTATGTGTTCGTGTTTCATGTATGGAAACATTACACCGTTAAATCTATGGTGTCAAATTTAATTCAATTTAAGTCGCCACTGCTCAATATATCGTTTTTTTGTACTAAAACAGTGGATAAATTTGACACTACACATACAGTGCCTAAGTAATAGTGTCAAATTTATCCGTTGTTTTAGTACAAAAAACGATATATCGAGTAGAAGCAGTATCGACTTAAATTAAATTAAATTTGACGCTATAGGTTTAACAGTGTATTAATCAGAGAGAATGCTTTAGTTCTCTCTTTCTCTCTCGTTCTTTTAACAAAATCCTGATTTTTTTTTATTGAACTTCCGAGAGAAAAAAAATTAGGTCAGCTTCCACATTTTCTTTTCTTCTCATTGTTTAATCTTAAATATACCAACGTAAGTGCTAAATTAAACATGCAGCTAAATGGATCTACTTTCGTTTCTCTGCAAATCTGTTTTTCTTAATTTTGGGAAAGTATACTTAAAGCCTATTCTACAATGTGCTCTTTGTTTCCTGTTTCTTGTTTTTTACCTTTTGCTTTTTCCTCCTTTGCAACCGTTTTATCAACAATTGTGTTTTTTGCTACGTATTTCTTGTTTCTTTCGAAGTTCGTTAACTTTTATTTCGGGCGATGTAAAACAAAAAACCGAATAAGAAGCAAAAAGGCAAGATGTAAAAAATAACAAAAGGCAAAAAAAACAAAAGGAAACAAAAAGCACATTGTAGAAGAGGTTTAAAGTGAAAAAAATACATATATTTGGATTGAGTGGAGAAAGGAAAGGAAAAGAGAACTTGCGAAGAGAAAGACATACATGTAGATGATACAAGTGGAAAGAATAGACTTTTCGCGGACGATCGGTCGCACCGCAGCGGCTAAAGACGATATCTGTCCGTCTTGACATGCACAATAACGTAAGCAGCAAGATTTAAACAAAATACGCGAATCGATCATTCACATCCGAGAATTTCAAAATTGTAGATACGAAGAGAACTTACGTTCTCAAGAATTCTCGATTTTGATTAGTCAACTCTTGCTGTTTATGTTTTATCGTTTACATTTCTTCGCGTGCCATTCTTCTTGAAATAAAAAAAAAGAAGAAGAAGAAGAAAAAGAAAAAATACATTTGTATTCTCGATAGTCTCGGCGCCACACAAGTGAAATATATAAAATCCGGCATCCAATTAGATGTAAGGAGAGACACGAACAGGAACAGACCCGCATAAGGCCGCGCGAAGGGGTGGGAGGGAGACGGGGGTGCTTACGGTCGGATACAGTTTCGTGGGTGTCGTCATCGGCGGGGTATACGTCACGAGATATGCGCGGAGGAACGGAATAGATGTAACCTTTCGTGGGTTCAGATTATTCACCGCGTGGGCGAAGCGCGGAGTGGAGGCCGTGGCGTGCGCGTTTATACATGGGGTGTTCCGTTACCACCGGATATACTCTTTCGCCACGCGGATGTCTTGGCTCGACTTGGAGGCGATTCTTCCTTCAAGAAAGACTATCGAGACGCTCGTGATGCTTTCTATGCTGAAATTCGAAAGAAAAAATTAACGATAACATTGACGTCCATCCAGTTAGTCTCTGGATTTTATTTCCTAAAAGCTTCATTGGAAAATCAGAACACGCGATAGAAAATCGGAAGACCAATTAATATTCTCCCTTAATATTCGGATAACCATTCGCAAAACCAGACTGCCGATCGATATTTTCCGTCGAGAAGAAGAATCGTTTCCTGGGTCGGGAAACGAATTAGAAGAAATCTCTCTATTCTCTCTGTAGCTGAACTACACGGAAAGAATGGTTTTACCTGAGCATCTAAAAATTTAGCTAGATACAGATCTGAAAATAATTTTGTTGAATTATTAAAATAATTACGTAAAATCTAATGTTTGAGCTGGTTGCTAGAATGGCAACATTTTCTGCAGTCTTACTCTCATGCTTGAATTTCTTACATTAATTATTTTGATGATCTAACAAAATTATATTTTCAAATTTGTATCTAAATTTTGAATACTTCCGTAAAATCATTTTTTCTGCATAATGTACACTTGTACTTGAAACAAAATATTATATATACAGAGCTGTGCAAAGAGAAGGTGCACTGTACAAAAGCCTAATACTAAGGAGAACTCAGAGTTTTACTTAAATATATTCATTTTATATCAATTTCTTCCTAAATTAATCACTTTGTTAGTTATTCATAACTACACATTACTTATTAATAATTTTATTAATTATTCAATTTAATTTGCACATGCAAATGATATTCATTTATATTTCATTTATACTCTTCTCATAAAAGTAAATAATAATTTAAATTTAATGAAATTTTTATACGTAAAATTTAGAATATGAAATTATACAAAAAATCATATATCGATGATGCAATTTTTACCTGATCAAATAGCTACATATTTAACTTTCTATGACAGGAATATACAATTAGTGGCTCATGATCCGACATAATTTTATTTATACCGTTTCGTTATATTTTCTAAACCTTGCAATGCTCTTTTAATAGAAAATTTATGAACAGGGTCATCTTTACTTTTGCACGGCTTTGTATGAAAAAACAAAGAAGAAAGTTTTAATATAATCCAGTTATAACAACAAAGAATAAGACACCCAGTATAACTTGTGTGTCATCCGACAGGTCAGGTGGTGCGATCGGGGGTTTGAGGAGGAGTGATCGTCTCGTATACACGCACGCACGCACGCACGCACACGCACGCTCACTCCCCTTCTCTCTCTCATTTTGCTCATCCCCTGCATCGTCCTCTCTCTCTCTCTTTCTCTCTCTCTCTCTACGCGGACCCCGAGTGCCGGGGGTTTACGTCGCCGGGACGGCAGATGTCAGGATGCCGGAGCAGAGTAACGACTATCGCGTGGTCGTATTCGGGGCGGGCGGCGTTGGCAAGAGTTCTCTTGTGCTGCGCTTCGTGAAGGGGTCCTTCCGCGAGTCCTACATTCCGACCATCGAGGACACCTACAGACAGGTAAGCGAGTACGCGCCAACGCTCTCAAATGTGCGATTCCACGACCTTATTTTTCTCTTTTTCTCATCATAAATGGACAGCGTACTCATGGTTGCTTAGAGACCAACCGTACGTTCTTCTCAATCCGAAACACACAAACGTGTGTTATTAGGTAATTGATTTCCTTAATTGACCGTAGATAATGATCGCACGCGCGCTCATCAGTGGAAAAAAGTTTACTGAGAAACTTAGCTGATTCTCTCTCAGTCTCTTTCTTTTTTATGCACTTAGAGAAATAGACATGATGATGATAATTATACAAGTTTTATTTGTAGAATTAATATATACACACACAATTAAAGAAATTATTTTATAAAAATACATCATAAAAACGAACGTGATTTATAAATCGAAACGTATGAAAAGAAGAGCATAAAAACCACCGCACAAGATATTGTTTGTGATATTTAATTATCATTGCATTAATAGAACATTAGATATTTCGGCCACAATCTGGTCATCTTCAGTAAATTCACATATTCTTAAAACGCAGAATTACATATAGCTGATTTAAAATCAACCGTCGTGTGATATAATTATATATAAACGTGTTCTTTCATCATGTGAAGGTGCCTCGTACAACAATGTTACAACCAACGCCAATTATCATATCACGAAATATGTAGAACAAGAATTTCCAGATTCTAATTTAACAAATTAATCTCTCATTAATATTTTCTAATCGAAATGTATGAGAAGAGTTATAATGACTACAAAATAATTATTTAATTATGTAGGAGAGACTGGAACACCCCAGTTACATAATTGGTGCTTTCCAGTGAACACAGCGTGACACAATGATATCATGTCATCTTCGTTTAACATTGTTTGGAAGGTGTTTGGAAAGCAGCCAATAACACAAGTCATCACATAGTATCATGAAGCATTAAGTGTTTAGGGTAATTTTTAAATTGATACAACTGATATATGAGACTATCGCCCATTACTTTGTTGCTTTGTTGCCCATATATTAGATGGCAGTATTCAAACTCTGTTACCTCATGTTGTTATATAATAGTTTTTGAGGTATGAAAATAACTTTTTAATTATTTACAAATGTTTTAATATAATTGTTGTAGTAAAAGATACATGTATTGAAGACGGGATACAAGTTTCTACATATCTTTCTCATTTTGCTATACACTACAAATATAATTGTCAATCATTTATTTTTTAGTCATTTTTCACCGTTTTTTATGTCAAGTGTAATCGAGGCATCATGAGTCATACATTAAATATTTATGAAACGTGACAATGCAAAATAGTGCTAGAGGACAATTTATAAATTAAGCAATTAATTTTGTTTTATTTTACTTTTTTAAATTTTGTATTTTATGTACAATATATCAATAGCTATTTCTCTAGTTTTATTTATGGATTTTTTGTTCTATTATAGTTATTAGTTGTAATTTGTTTATTATTACATTCAGTAACTATGTTAAACATGTATAAATTAATTGAAATTTCTTTTTAATTTTTGTCATAATTATTTTTTTAATAAACCTACATTTATGCATGTACAGTCCCAAGAGACATCTTGGGTCATTTCTTAAAAAATATGTTTTTATTTCTTTCTCAAAAATCAATCAATATTTATTAAATACATATATTCAATCAATTTGTAAGTATTTATAATTCTCTAATTCTTTATAAATATAGCTGGGATAACAAATCTTATATTTAAAAATATTTTAAGAGTTTAAAAATATTTTAAATTTTTTTAACTTATAATGCTCCGGTTTCCTTAACACTAATTTATTCAAATATGTGTGTGTACATTAACTCTACACATGAAACTTATACAGACATCATGTGCAAAAGTATTAGGCACTTACAATTTTCTTGCATTTTAAGTTAAATGTCTCGGCGAAAAGAAATCTCACAGTAGTTTTTTTTATCATGCTTTTTAAAGCGTAAAGATAGGGCTTTAAATCTGCGTTTAAATCTTTTATTTACGATATTTTGTTCCTAAGTTACATAAAATCGAAAAATAATATTTTTGAAATTTTTTTGTCTTATTTTAAGCGCTACAGTACAATAAAACATTAACAAACAAAATTTAATATGAAAATAGGCTTTTTAAGCTTTAATATTGTATTTATTATGTAAAAAAATTTTTTATTATGTAACAAACTTTTTTAAAATTGATACTCGAATAAAGTTTTTAAAAAAATTTGAAAAAATTTATACGAATCAAGAACATTGTAACATTTTTTCTCTTTTATCTTTTTTCCAAATATTTCTACAAAATTTCACATAATAAAAAATACGATATCTTTGCGAAAAATTACAGTACAAATTTTTTTCAAAAAGCATTTTAAAGCTTAGAAAGCTTACTTTAAGATACTTTCATATTAAATTTTGTTTGCTGATATTTTATTGAATTGTTGCACTTTAAAGTAAGACAAAAATATTGCAAAGATATTATTTTTCAATTTTTTAATTTAGGAACAAAATATCGTAGACAAAGATTCGAATGCAGATTTAAAGCTCTATCTTTACGCTTTAAAATGCGTGGTCGAAAATCTCTTTGAGATTTTTTTCGCCGAGATATTTAACTTTTCGTAAAATGCAAGAAAAATGTGACTAATATTTTTGCACATGTTTGTATATGTATCACCTATCACAAAAATGTTGTCAGTACGTGTTTCTCTGAGTGTAAAAATGAGACACAGAACTAATTAGATGAACTAATCGATTCAACCCGAAGTAATCCCGTGTTTTTTGCTCTCAATTTCTATGAGAGAATTAATTTTTTGACTGTATAAAATGTATAGAAACAGTACACAGATAAGCGAAGAGAGAATCATATTCGATCAAGGCGGATCTTCGCCTAATAATGCATTAACATTTATGGAAATAAAATCACGCTAGCAGAATTATCAGAATGCGTTCGTAGTTGACTAGTTAACGTGAAACTGCAGCAACATAACATGTTCGATACCGTGCTGTCCGTTTATCGATTTCGACTCACGAAAAAATTAGAAGCGCCTTCGCTCGCGCACGTGTACTGCACAAAATTGACAGATCAGATTCCTATGTCGTTAATTATAGATCGTGCAAAAACGGACTTTATGCATTTGGCACGTCGGATGCATTCAGATGCGCCACGTAGATAGCAATTTCCGCAAGAGTCGAGATTTAGCGATTAATCGTCCCCGTGTCTCTGCGCGTCCACCAGGATCCATCGCGATATAACTCTCGCCATTTACAAATTCAATATTCCCGCACTGTGCATCCGCTCGATAATACGGAAGTGACATATGGGCGAGCAAAAACATTAAATTTGCAAACGAATCGCCACTGCAACATCGGGAATATCTGGCAGCGCGTATTGATAAACCGGCAGTAGAATTACAAGTATAGTATTAATACATATATAATAATACACCATAATGAGTCAATGTGGATATTAGTGCGCAAAAATTAAATAAAAAATTTATTTATACAATATATAGTATAGATATATAAATGTATAAACGTTTCAACAACTTCTTATAGTCAAGCAAGAAAATGTTACAATTGATATTTGTATTCGAAAACTATTATGTCAAGATTGTCGTCAAAAGATATGTAAGATATTTCTTGTAATATTGATGTTGGACCATTAATATTGAGATAGATCGAATATAAATTATATGGTTACATCTAACTGAAAGTTAAGCGAATGAAATTCTTTTATATACTCACAGATATAAACAGACAAACAAATCATCAATACGCGACTAACTAAAATCTTACAATTTAACCTCAATCCAGTAAAGTGTCAGCCAGATCTTAATAAAGTGTAAAAAATAGTCGAATTAAATTGTAAGATGACTTAAATTGTAAGAATTCTTAGATCAAGTCAAGATACTACGGCTTATCGTCACGAAAAATAAAACATAATCTGCAGCGATCTCAGAAAGTCGTGATGCTTTTCAATCTTGTCGTTATTTATATTCTTATTTATATTTTTATTTTTATTTTTATTATGTTATATAAAATATTTGTTACACTTCTATAATTGTATTACATTAGTAAATTAGTTCTTGATGATAAACTATCACCAGCACTTTCATTTCACTCTTCGTAATGACCGCAATCCTGGCTTGATCTAAGAATTTTCATTACAATTTAATTCGACTATTTTTTATACTTTGCTGAGACTTGGCTGGCACTTTATTGGACTGATGTTAAATTGTAAGATTTTAATTATCAGTCGTACGTTGATGATTTGTTTGTCTGCTTATATTATTTAAAGATATTTATTTTATTCGTCTTTCAGTTGTAACTATAATTTATATAAACATAACTAACATAAATCAAAGTTAATGAGAGTCAAACGCAGGTAATCAGGCACAAGATCTTGAAATAATGAAATTTACGTGTATTCTGTCAATAAACGATGTTTTATTTATTTTGAATGTTTCAATTTACTTTGGAATCTCCTTCAGCAAAATAACAATATAACAAAACGCTTTGTCCAAATAATATCCAAAAAAGTTGTGTAACTTAAAAATTGCCAATTGATGTAAAATCTGGCGATACAAGAAAATTGATTACTATAGAAAGAAGTAAAACATTGAAGAGTGAAGTGATCGTGGATAGAGACCGTGTCAACAAGCTTAGATATTAGGTGTACAAATAAGTTTCCGCCGTTTTTAATCAAAAATTAAGCATTTATTGTGAAAGAACGATACATAATGTTTTATTGAAAGTATTGTCCATCGCTAGCCACTACTTTTTGCGTTTGG